CCAAGAAAATAAAAAGAAAACAGAACTATCGCCACAAAATGGAAGGACCTGGCTTGGGGACCTTTTTTTGAGAAGTAATTTTTTTCACTAAGAGGAAGGAGGATATGATTTTGCTTGAAGACTTTTTTTATTTTTTATGGGTGAAATGGATTTGGGACAATTCTTGCAAGGAATCTGAAATAATTGATGTTTAATGAAACGAGATTTAAACTAAACTGATTTTATTCGTAAAAATGCTCACAATCAGCGAAATAAAATAGTGACAAAAAAGCGGCTTCTTCTAGAAAAAAAAAACAGTACATTGAATTCTCTGCGTTCAGCATAGATATGATTAAAGGTTTCATACAATTAGAGAGAGATGGAGAAAATGAGTTAAAGAGAAAAGAAAAGTAAATAAAACAAAACGTATTTATAAAGTAGATTCACCACAGAATCTTTGGAATTAATCAAAAATAAATTAACAACAAATGTTCATTTTCAGCCTGAGTTGCCGATTAAATTAATCGTAGATGCATCAAATATGGGAATAAGGGCCATGATATGTCATGTTTTTAAAAAAAATATTGAGAAATCTATAGTTTCTGCTTCGCGTACCTTATCAAAGTCCGAACAAAAATATTCCCAAATTCAAAGAGAGGGCAATAATTTTTGGCTTAAATAAATTTAAAGAATATTTATATGGACATTTCTTTATCCTAGTTACAGATCACATACTTCTGGTAACTATTTTTAACCCAGCTAAAGGTATACCCCAATTTTCAGCCAACAGACTACGTAGATGGGCAGTAATATTGTCAAATTAAAATTATAAAATTGGATATGTGAAATCGGTGTATAATATAAAGCCGATTTTTTATCACGTTTACCTATTGAATGTCAAAATGAGAGTCAAAATGAAGAAAAATTTGAAAAATATTTTTTAAATTATGTTTTATGTGTTTAGGACTCCGTCAAATATTTCGCTTTTCAAAAAGGTTCCGTCGCGCGTCGTCAAAAAAGTTTAAGAAACACTGCTCTATAATAATATGGGATCTATCCATTTAATTTACATTTTGCTACTTTCTCTAATTTTGACATATGTCAAAACGATCTACTTTATGCAAACAGTTGCATAAAGTAGAACATTATGCAACTGATTACGAAAAGTTGATTATGTCACCAGTTACGAAATGAAAATAAATAAAACTCCATCTTTTTTGGTTTTTAAGTCGAAAAATCGAAAACTCAAGAAATCAAGAAATCGAGTAATCGAAAAATGTAAAAATCGAAAAATAAAAAATCGAAAAATACAAAAATCCAAAAAACGAAAAATACAAAAAGCCAAAAAACGAATAATCGAAAAAACCAAATTTCGAAAAAAGGCAATGAATAGTGACTTTTCACATTTGAAAATATGACATTACGTTTAACTACAAAAAAGAAAACAAAAAAAAAGCTGTAAATTGCGTTTTATTTTTTAAATAATTGAACGACGTTATGAAAACTGCCAAGAAATGTTGGGGGTAAAATTTTGACGTACTCCTTTAAGAATAATGGGTAATACCATTTTTTTTTTAAATTTCTCGCGGGTAATATCAAAAATCAGATGGGTAACACTGCACATGTCCCTTATTTTGATATTTACTATTGAAAAAAAAAAATAACTTCGTAGGGCAATGAAATACAACAATTTTCTAAAATATTTGATTGGAAGTACCTACAAAAGAATGATGGTGAATCATTTTTCAACACAATTTTATAAATAATCAAGTCAACATTAGAAAAAATCTTGTATGTAAACAAGTTACGAAATGCTGTTTTGTGTAACTCGTTCATTTTGTGAGACCTCACTCCGCTCGTCCCGCAAATATTTACTCGTTACACAAAATAAGGCATTTCATAACTGGTTGCATAAATAGCTATTAATTGACTTCCTAATATTTTAAATCATTGAACGGTATTTTCCGTAAATAATTAAATCATAAATAATTACCAGCACATAAGTACCAAAACATTTTTTCTCTTCAAAGAGTCGGCTTATGTCAAATAAACTTAAAATATTATAAGGAACGAAAAGGTAACCCATTTCTAATAAAATTTAATTATTTATTTTATTTTGGTGTAATCGTAGAAAAAATCTTGTGTGTAATTCGAGCAAAAAGTACTTTGGCTGTTTCGATAACTTTTTGGCTCAACAGCTATTTTGTTACAATAATTTTATAAACTTTTACTTGGGGTCGATTTCACCCTTTTTTTAAACGAAGTTTAAAATACTAAACGAAGATTAAAATGACATTTTTATATTAACAAAAACGAAGTTTAAATTACTTAATGTAGATTAAAATGACATTTTTACATTAACAATGTCTTAATCTTCGTTTAGTAATTTAAACTTCGTTTGACACAACGGTGGAATCGGTCCTTAGCTACTTGCTATATATTGATAAAGTGTTATTGTCCTCATCATAAATGAATCGTGCTAACAAATAAAGTCAAAAAAAGTCTCATAATTTTTCATCTTTTAGTTACCTACCAAAATAAGATACTACAATACAAATATTTAAGTCCGGTCCAGAACATCTCCCTACTCCTTCCACCCAGTTTTTCGGTTTTGGCAAAATTCGCGCAGCGACAAATGCTTCCTATGTTACCTCTACCCTTTCTAACCTCTTTGGTTTAACCACATACTTTGATCAAAGTATGTGGGTTTAACTCACAATGACAATGACAATCGAACTACAATTACACTTCATTCTCGGGCCATGTCATCTACTACATATTTGATATATTTATCTTTATGACATCGTGTTAACTTTAATAACTCGATTTTTAAAATTGGTTCATTGAATTTAATATTTTTCTTAGTAAGCCAATCTGCAATCTGTGCTTTTCTCCATTTGGTGGTTCGTAACTGTTCTACACGCCGGTTGTGGTATGAAGCGTTATCCATAACAATAACAGATCCTGGTTCGATTTTTAAAAGAATTTGAAAATCATTTTTCATAATGTTCTGCATCTATTTCTTAATGATAATCTCTAGTCTTTTTAGAAACAAATGCGTTTAAACCTTTTCAACAAATTCGCTACCAATATGGGTGATAATAAGGCGTTTTCCTTTTCTAGATGGGGCTTTTAAACCTGTCGATAAATCATCTACAAAGACTTGATGTTTGTTTTTTACATTTAAATCCTGCCAAATTTTTATCACAGTATGTCCTTCATTTAACCAGATTTCAACTGTATATTTTTCTGCCATCTCTTCAAAACTCTGCTCTTGTTTTTAGATATTTTCTGCGCCATTAAATAATTTTTTCTTTTTCAGTAAAGGTACCATTCCTCTTTCTCTTTAAATAAGTGAAGTTCATTTCACGCAAAGTACGTAACAAAACACGTCATGATATTTTTTGGAGATTTTCATTAGATTGAAGAGAGGAAGCAATTTTCTTTACAGTTGGTAATTCCTTTTTAATATGAAATGCATGTTCTGCACGGCAAATGACTTGTTTGTTTATATTTTCCAATTTTATTTGTTTTTTCCTTTAGTCTGAGCCTTCGAAGTATTAATATCTTTGTTCAATCCCTTGTTTTAATTATTCTGTATACACTAGCTTGGAAAACTTTTTTTAAAATACTACATAATGTAATTGCATCACTGACATTCATATTTTGTTCTCTGGCTCAAAGTCCTTCAAACATCTTTCTGATCATGGTTTTCTCTTCGGGTGTTAAATTGGGACGTTTTCTCTTGATATCTGGTTCACTATTACTATTTTCACTCATATTTATTGTTACCAAATTTAATTAAAACAAAATTACTCACAATTCATAAAAAGTAATCGTAACAGCACTTTCCACTAATATTAGAGAGATTGGGTTAAACCTAACCTCTCTATTACAAACAATTCCGGTCTCTGCTTTATGAAATCCCTATCAGCACGCCTATGACACTGCTTCGACGATAATATCCAAGAAAGATTCAATGGCGTTGTTGCCAATAACGTCGCTTTAATCTGCGACGACAGTATTGATCTCGGACATTATCTACGGTTAGATAAAGATACAAACTACACGCTAACAACGTTCCATTTTACCTCGAACTTTTAATCCCTTCGAAGATGTTTGAACAGTTTAATAATAGACCTGTCAAATTAAAAATATTTCAATAAAAAGATATCTGTTTTGGAGGTAAATAATACACAAATGAATTATATTCAAAAAGATAGCGATTTTCTTAATTTTTTTGAGACTATCTGAAAGTATAGTCTTTAAAGAGTGAGTAGAAGAAGGTTTTTGTAAATTTACATATTCTTTTAAATGTGTAAACCTTTGATGAGGTTCTACAATACCTGTTCGTAAATTGCCTGTACACACTTTTCATTTCTTACACTCGGTTTCTCTATTAAAGGTTCCTCGACACAATCTTTTAGCTGAAGTTATATCTGAAAAAGATGGTTTAATCAAAACATCCCTAATTACATTTATTTTTGCAAGTGAATTTGATGAAGGCATTATAAGTTAATGACATCACCTACATTTTCCAGAAAAATATCTGTCATGGTTTAGTGCAACACCAACATAACCTAATTTACTATCAAAGCCAGATTTACACCACCTTTTAATATTCAAATTTAGCTTTAACTTTGTATATTTATAACAATTATTCCTGTATTTAATCATATATTGTATTAAAGTGATATTTAAGAGATTGCATTAGTAAAGTTATTGATTTCTTTAATATTTATTCATTGTGTAATTATTATATGGATGTAAAAACGGTTTTATATTAGTGATTGCAGCGCGTGAAGCGCGATATGATAACTACAAGCAAGGAAACAATTCCCGCCTATTATTCAAACCTTCTCCTTTAGTTTTTCTATGGCTGCAACTATCCGTTGATTATCCTTTGTTGCATCTGTGGGTTTTGCAAACATTGTTTTCAAGCTATTTTGGATTTAAAATAAATATCTGATTTCTAGTAAAGACAAAAAATATTTGTTTAATTTATTTTTTTTTTGTTTTAGGTCATCACTTTGGACACCGGAGTTAAAGCTACTCGTCATTACAAAAGAATTTAAAGACTAATTAATTAATTACAAATAGTTTAAAAACTTTTTTATTGTAAAAAAAGTTAATGTTAATCTTTAGACATACAAATATGTTATTTTGATTTTAATAAAAAAACATTATTGTGTGACCTATTGAAATATTTGTAAAAAATCTTGTACATTGTTTGTATATCAAAAACGAATAAAAATTAAAACAGAGAATTCTTATTTTTTAATGGACCTTTCCCATTATTTAACAATTTCGCATTACTCATGCGCGAAAAAAGCGCAGGAATTTTGTATCTCGTAATTTTCCCAACACTTTCTGCTCTCTTTGTTATCCTCGCCCTACAACTCTTTGGTTGGCTACGACAAGTATCCCATGTCATCGTTATTTTTAACAACTAACATCGAATGTATACAGGGTGTTATTGAAATACACGTACATATTAAAACTGGGTATTGCGCAGATCCCCACTGAATGTAGAAAAATGTTATTTTTTAAAAATACCCCTTATTAAGGGAGTTATTAATTTTTGAAAATTAATTCTAAAACAAACGTACTTCACTGATATGTTGAGAATGACCTATATAAATTAGGTTTATTTACCTATTTTAAACATCAACAGTAATTAATATGCAAGTTTTTGTCAGATGATAAGAAAACTAGTCTTGTAAGAAATAACCATGTTGCCAAGATTTTCGAATTAATTTCTATTTCCGAAGACTGGTTTTTACTACCCTCGTTATCAAAAAACTAGAATATTTGATAAATGATTGTTTTTAAACTATACATTTTTGAAACTATAGATTATTAAAATTTTAGTTGATTTACGAATCTGGCAAACACGAGCGCGTCATTTCCAAGTTGGTAAAAAGTGTTGTTACGATTACTTTTAAATATTTTTTTACGATGCCACTATTTACGAATATTGAACTAACGGATATAGTGCTGGTTTACGGGGCAGCTGGAGAAAATTCTGTATCGCGAACGGTTTCCAAATCGGAGAATTCCGGACTGTCGTACGTTTATTTCAACTGTTCAGCATCTAAGAGACCATGGAAAATTTGAGAGTGTCAATGCAGATCGAGGGAGAACAAGAACACAAAGAACATTGGCGGCCGAAGAAGAAATATTGGAAGCTGTTGAAAACCGAATCAATTAAGTTGTAGAAGACTAGGTCTTGAAATTGGAGTGTCCTCATTTGTTGTGTGGCGGACACTTAAAGAACAAGGTTTACATCCTTATCACATCCAAAAAGTCCAGGCCTAATATCCAGGTGATGAAGAAAAGAGAGTGGAGTTTTGTGAATGGATGATTCAAAAATGTGTTGATATTCCTGATTTTCTAAAAATAATATTGTATACTGACGAGGCTTCATTCACTCGTGATGGCGTGTTCAATATGCACAATACGCATATTTGGAGTGATGAAAATCCTCACGCCATTAGGGAAACGGGCATCAAAGAAAATTTTCAATAAATGTTTGGGCTGGCATAATAGATCAGTATTTAATTGGGCCTTATGTTCTCCCGAACAGATTAAATGGGCCAGGATATCTCCACTTTTTAGAAGATATTTTGCCATTACTCCTAGAAGAGATACCGTTACAATTAAGGCAACGGATGTGGTACCTACTAGATGGCGCTCCTCCTCACTTTGATTTAAACGTACGGCAGTTTTTGAACATTAGATTTCCTCAAAAGTGGATAGGCAGAAATGGACCTACTAAGTGGCCTCCGAGATCTCCGGACTTAAATCCATGCGATTTCTTTTTGTGGGGTCACATGAAACAACTGGTTTATAATGAACCTATTAATAGTGTTGAACAATTAACCAATAAAGTTAATGCGGTAGCCGAGGAACTACGACAAAATCCAAGACTAATTTCTAATGTTCAAAGTTCTTTGGAAAGACGATTGCAAGTGTGTGTAAATAATAATGGACGGCATTTTGAACAATTACTGTAATAAACTTTATTTTAAATTAATTGGTTTTGCTACGGCAACAGTGCAATTTCTATGGGTAAGTTCAATTTCGATTTATTTTACTTCTTTAAATATGGAAACTAGTAGGTCGGAAAAGGGGACTCTTCCCCAATATTTAAATTTTAGAATTTGAAGTTAAAATTGGTGCCAATCGTTTTTGGTCATTACATACTATTCCCCATTTTAATATGTACGTGTATTTCAATAACACCCTGTATAGTAGGTAATCAGTGCAAATTTTCAAGTTTACCTCTGCAGAAGGCTAAATAATATATATATATCTTAATTCTTATCCTGTAGAACATGGGTCGGCAACCTTTGGATAAAAGAAAGCCAAATATTTTGAGTGGGGATTAGTGCGGGCCGCCATTGGTCCAAATGTCATATATGTTACATATGTCATACTATATTTTAGTTTTAAAAATAAAATGTTTATTATACATTTTTTTAATTTTTTATTGTAAACAATGGTATTTTTGTGGCTGCATTTGACTTCCCAATTTTTTTATATTATCCTGCATTTTTGGAGTAGATTTGAAGTTATGCATCTATGGCCGATTAACACGTATCTAGTAGCTGGCGCCAGTCTCACTGGCAAGCCAATTCTTGGCTGGAAAAGCGCTGGTAGTTCACACGAGTCCAGTCAGTCGTGAGATTTCGTCGATGTTTCAATTTTATTGACTTATATAAAGTATGTATTCCTAATACTTTTAATTATATTTTTAATTTCTTCAATCGTAGGGCCTCTAATACTCATCTCTTTTTAAATTAGTTGTAGAACTGATGTGCTCGTTTGTTTAATTCTGTATACAGTCGAATTTTGAACAAGCTTAAAAGTTTAATTTTCATTGAATTTGTGGGTCACTTTATTTAAAAAACTCAATAAATTCATAGCTCAACCTTCATAGGGGTGCTAGCGACTGGCCCAATGTATCTCTGTATCTGTAAGGTGTGGAGGGTAGGTAACTTCCACAGTACTTAGGCCTCACTAGGACCATTGTGCATCTTCTTAAGATGAAGCGATCTCCCTGGCTCGTGAGCCAGTCTACAGATTTATTGTAGTTGACAACGTTTCATCCTTTTCCTTGTAAAAAGGACCATTTCTGTATTCTTAGGATTGATAGAGAGTGTATGGTCCTTGCATCACTGTTCTATAATTTTTAGAGCTACTTGCATTCTTTTACAAAATTCCCCTTCTGCAGAATGACCAGATCATCTGCATATGCTATGGTGTTGTGACTGTCATTATTGAGGCGTCTGATGAGGGTGTCGAGGATCATGTTTCACAGTAAAGATGGACCCAAGCTACTTATATTCACTTTTTCTACACTTATGTTTACTGCTCGCTTTAAGAGCATGTTATGTATCTACCCACTAACCAGCTGTGGAACATTCCCGTTTGTTAGTGAGTGTATTATCTTTGGGAAGGTGGTTTTATCAAAAGCACCTTCTATGTCTATGAAAATACTCCAGGCGAACTCCTCATTGTCCAGGAATTTCTATCCGGTCAGCAACTGAATGAAGTGCTAAATCAGTAGATCTACCTGGGGTTTATGCATGTTGGTGTTGTTGTAATCAATGCATCCTTTATGTACCTGTCGCATAGCCTTTCCATGGAAAACGATGTCACGTTTTTTTGAGGATGTACCTCAGAGCCAACGAGGATCTAAATATACTTACCAGGTGCGGTGTAAGTTCTTCCAAACCACACTGAAGTAGGGCTGGATAAATACCGTCAGGTCTTCGCAATTTAAATAGAGAGAAACTGGATATTGCCCATCTAATTTTTTCATCGTCTACAATGTGTTTGGCAGTTTGTTAATCATAGACAGATGGGTTGTATTCTCCCTCGTCTTTGATGACTGAGTCAGGGAAATGTGCTGACAGCAGAAGTTTGATGCTATCTTCGAGGTTGGAAATTTTCGTGTCATTCTCTTTGATTGGCGCACCAATGCTTCAGTATGGATCTTTTGAAAGAGCTTTTTGAAGCCTCGCTGCCTGCGAGGAATCTTTGATTTCTTCGCAGTAGGATTTGCATGCATCTCTCTGTTTTCTGTGACAATTTTTTTGTATTCTATGAGGTAGGATTTGTAGGTATTCCAGTCCTCTCTGAGTTTTGTGGTCCTTGCCATCTTACTGAGGTGATCCAACTCGTGACGCCACCACACGGTAGTCATCTGATCGTGTTGGACCAGCCTCCTTATAGCATTTGTTTATTGTGCTTTGGATAGTGTTTGAGTACTTCTCCAAAGCATTGTTATTGTTTAATATTTCGGCCTTCATCTCTCTCAGAGCCTCTTGGAGAAGGTGGGCAAAGGTTGCCCTTTCAGTCTTTCTAGGGTTCCCAGATAGCGTGGAGGTCTGCAACATCAAGTTTATTTTGAATTTTAACCAGCTGTGGTCAAAATGTTATCAGATACTTGCCAGTTTAGAATTGATTTATAGATACCAGTTGTGGATAAAGTGATATCTATTAGTGTTTGACTGCTGACTGCGAGAGATTAAAAATGTTGGTGTAGTACCTTTATTCAAAATACAAAGATTTATGATAATTATATAATCATAAAGACTGGCTGAACATGTTTAGGCAATGTCTGCAACACTGGCACTGGTGTTATGGAGTACGGGGCTGGAAGCTGCTAGCAAAAAAAATAGACATACTCTATTCGCTTCAGTTCTGGCGGCCAGCGTTGGACTGTCACAAAAAAGAAAATGTTCAGACAGCGCCACTTATATGCGAGTGTTGACCTTTGGCCTGTCAGTAAGACTGGTGCCAGCTACTGGATACGTGTAACTCGGCCTTAAATGTGACCCTGATAACCAAGAACAGTATTTGTTTTCTCGATAATTCAAAATTGAAAAAGTTTGTTAATAAATATATGTACTACGAAACAATAATTATTTGCTGAGCAAACTTTTTTTAACTCTTTGTACTTTTCAGAAGGCAAACTCCCATAAAAATCCACCAAGTTATTACGTTGCAATTCTATCACGTTCATTTGTAAATCACTCGGTACATTATCGATAACCACTGCGAAGAAGTTTTCGAAAATATCCATTTTACATGTTTTTAAACTCAGTCTTAAGTTGTATTAATGCACTTTTCATTTAAGTATTTTGCCAAACAAAATTTACCCCAGCTTCTTCTACTGCTTTTTTGCTATTTGGAAAATGATCGAGATTTATTTTATTAATATGCTTAATAAATATTATCAGTTTCATTTCAAATGATT